TGAATAAAATACTTCACATGGAAGTAACAAAGAGATAACGATCAAGAAGTGCAAACTGGAGACAGACAGAATTACGATAGCTCTAAAGAGCCACCCGGGAATTCATCACATGTAGAGAAATTTCACACCTGCAAAGCCAAATCGCAAAACCGGTGAAGCAGGTCATCGGCCTCCTTCAGCAAACTGATTATAATATGGCAAACTTTTTAAAACTAGGGCTGGAAAAAACGACTTGTACCGATCGAACTAGCAACATTAGTGCTATTCCCGGGCTCCTTATGATTGTAGAGGCGCCAAAAATTTTAAACCGACTTGTGTGGAGCGGGAATGGTCAATTCGTTAAACAAGGAGGCAAACCTCTCAGTTTTGTCATCAATACCTTAATTGACAAACATTTCTGAGGAAGATTTGAAAAGTACCAGTAGAAGGCAAAGTTTCGTATGGTTGGTTGGCAGCCCCCAGTATTGAGTGAATTACTTGTAGCACCATATAAACAAAAACCAAGGAATAGGCGACATGATCACAGATAAAAAGGATTTGGATTTGCGTTCAAGCGCTGGAGACAAATAAAATACTTTACAATTTCAACTTGAAATTTCAATTTTAATTGAAGAAAAAAACCACCGTCATTTTTTCGATAATCAACATGTTTGTAGGCGAACTTTGTGTCAAGCGAAACAAAACATTTCAGCGTTGAAGGCACATTGCGTCACCTGGACGGCTGTACGTTCGTTGTTATTCCTTGGATAAATTTAATTGAACCGTCATAACAGGGCGCCCGAATTCGTTTACTGTCATATAAAAGTAAATGCAATTTATCTGAATTCTGCCCACTCATTTTGCCAAAAGTTGATACACGCTTATTCTGATTCACCCCATTGCCCGTACNCATGTACATTTACATGCACGTTCATTGAGCATCGTACACTGTACACTGACAGATGGGAAAATCTGGGCAAGCGTACAATCTCGTTCTCACGAAATATAATAAGCGGAAAAAAGACCTACACAAGGAGAAACAAACATGGTCAGAATGAAAGGTCGACAAAATTTTGCCTTTTCACCCATTTGATGAAGACTTTACCAAAATAGAGCGCGCAATTGAAATTAACCACAAGCGGAATTAATTATAGCAGTGTAGGTTTCCAAGAACTCAAGACGCGGCCTTTCATTCCAGACACATTATATTGTGCTCGAACACCAGCTGTGCCGTCCGTAGGTGGGCTAAAAAATGTTTCGGCTAGTGTAAATGGTAATAAGAATTAATCCAGCATCGGTAACGTGAATACTGGGCAACAGTGAACCCTTAGGAAACCATTTAAAGAGAAAAATACTAAGAATAATAGGCGTATAGGGTCGGATATCCTAACTGACAAATGGTGAACAGTCCGCACAAACTCATGAATATACACCTTTGTAATGAAAATTCTCTTCGTGTGGTCAAAATGACATACATGGAAAAAAAACTTGCCGCACAAAATGATGTAAATTTAAAAATTTGTGCATTACCATTGAGTTCCCAATCGACAACATTAAACCAGGTAATCAATTCTTTAAAGCCTAAATGTATATCACTTCTTTACAAAGAAATATTAGGCAAGTTTGCGTCGGTGTTGGTAAATTGAACTTTTTATCAAAAGAGATATGAAATTTCTTACAGAAATTTTAGGGGAAAAAATTTAACAGGTCAGTCATCACACACCCCCATCTCTGTACAACGGCGTAGTTGTTTTGACTTCCGCTCTGCCTTTGGAGAATATGTTGGATTCCAATTTTGAAAATGGTAAAAGGTGTCCAAAGAATTTTATCCCTTCAATCGTCCACATTTGTAAATATAATTTTGCGTGCTTAAAGGACGTCAAAACCATGATAGACTTGCATTGATCTAAAGTGTACCTTCAGCTATTAACGCTGAAATAAATGTGTCATCAATGCCCTACACTTTCAATTGTTTTCAATATTGATAATAATGCCTAAAATCAATTCCAATGAAATACTTCAGGTCTAAAGAAAGTGTTATGTATGGTGGGAAATTGAGGGTAAAATTTCAACAGTTGGTTGGGACATTAAGAAAAAAATGAATGACTAATGAACAGATATTTGCAAAAACTGTTTTTATTCACTGTCAGACACAAGGCCAGTGGTAACAGAATATCACTGTGGTTAATTCTGTGGAAACAAATGAAGTCATTCCTTGGGCGAGTAACTGTAAGTGTAAGCTGACGCAATGAAAATGTCCCAATCTTGTTCTCTGGTGTTTTCGCACCTATTTGTGAACGTGAACCAATCTACAAAAACGATAGCACCAGACAAATCGGGTAACCTGAAGTGGTTAATTAGCATCAATAAGCACAGCATCCCCCACGTTTCTAAATCATTCAAAACACGTTGCCATGTTGTTGGTACCCGCTACAGTTCAACGGACACGGTTATCATTCTCAGTTGGCCTATGCTGGAGACATTTAATCATTTGATGTGTACGATACCTGGCAAATGGACCCCCACCTCTATTGTCGTATTTTTTTTGTGGACGGAAGGTTTTCAATTCCTGTATGATTTTGGCGGTTAGAAGCACAATAGCTTTTGAGTCACACAGGGGGTCCCCTTTCCCATATATCGTAAGGATATATTCCATGAATTGGTCAGCTTTCCCTAGTCTACGATCATATTAAACATACAACATGTAATATTGCTAAGAATGGACACACATCTATTACCCGTAATTACTTCGCACATTTATGAAATCTGTAAATCTGTATCCGACATACATAGGTCGGTTGTGTGAGAATTGGCTTTCAGTTTAAGAAATGCCAAAACAGCACTTTAAATAATAACTGTATTCATTAGACTATGAAAATATCAAAATCAATATTAAAGCAGGTAATATTAACAGAATAATGAAACTGATAAATTGGGAACGCACGAAGTTACTTCATATTAAAAACTTAAAAATGGAAAGAATAAAACACTGATTGGACACAGATTAATATCACACAATATCAATCAAACAAGACACTGTTTTAACATTGGTCACTACGGTAGACTAATCAAAGAAATGTTCTGGGAAATAATTACATCAAAGATTCCAACAAGTTTCTAATAGTATTGTTAAGGAATTAAGATTTTTTNAGCATAGTGAAAACAGCTGTGATGAAAGTCTTGTCTCGGCGGTAGACTTCTCCGCTTGGAAACTACAGTGGAAAAATGAACGCCTCACACTAGACTTTTTGGCCATCGAAATAAAACACCCAATCCCGTGTTTTAGATGTGGAGGCTGTGGTTCATATGGAGGGTTGGTTTATAAAGGCATTCCGGATGGGTTGGGGTTTGAAACGGTATTCAATGCACAATGCACATTACCTCAAAGAATATCCAGTTGTCAACATTTATACAGCATACAAATATAAAAAAGTAATTTTGCACATCGAAGCATCATCACTTCTTGGACCCTGTGTGGGGTTGAATGGAATTGTTCCAGTGTCGTCCAGATGGCATAAACGCAGTGCTTGGTCGCGGTTGCCTCCCATTTATCAAGGTCTAGGATTAAGCTCAATGGGAGGGAATGCATAAACGATTCGAGTCTGGATTCGTATACAAATGCCACATTGCACCCTGGGCCAATTTCATAGAGTTGCTTAAGCACAAAATTTGCTTAAATGCGAAAAAAAC